CCCCCGCCCCGCCTGTCCCCACCCTGTGTCTCCTCCTGGCCTCACCCGGTCCTGGGCCTTCCTCCAGGTCTCTTCATCCATCCAGGGAAGCCTCCTGAGGCGGGCAATGAGGGCGTCCTTGATGGCACCGAATAAGTCCATGGCCTGTGGGCGTGAGGGGCAGGGACAGAGAAACAGGGTGAGGACCTGCCTCAGTCTTGGGTCCTGCCCGCCGAGCCTCTAAAGAGGGGCCTTGGCCCTGAGGAGGGGGGAGGTCTGAAAGACAGAGAGGAAAGTGGCATTTCCTAGGTGACCCAAACCCCAAGGTAGAAAGATCTGTGGAGCTAGAAAGGGAAGGTGGGAGCTGGTCACTCCTGAGGGGAGACAGGGGAGCAGATTTCCTTTCTTCCGTGGGGAGACCTCAGTCTGCTGAGGGGGGAAGACCACCTCCTCGCTCCTGGGCCAGCAATCCACTCAGAAGGCAGAGGGAGGGTGAGACTGTCATTCCACCTCTGCTCTTGGGGACCCTTGTCCTCACACCCTTTCTTAAGGCATGCTTTTTCTATTTCCATCTTCCTGGGGACTTCAGCGTCCCAGCAAGCTGAAGTGTCCCTAGCTTCACAACCTGACTAGAGTTATCGCTTCCCCAGCCATCTACCACCTTGTGTATATCTTTCCTCAATGGGAGAAAATGGATGCCAAGACCAGGAGCCCAAGTTCAAGTCCTGACTGCTTTTTGGCAGCTTGGGCAAGCCTCTCTGTGCTTCGGTTCTCTCTTCTATAAAATTAGGACGATGCTCGGCCTTAAAGTAGTTCAAGCGAAGTTCCTACGAGAGTACCAGGCACATGGTAGGCACTCAGAAAAGTATTTGGTAGTTATGTTCACTTCTTAAGATTATATCAATCCATCCTCATGTCGTTTCATGTGTTGTTAAATAATTGTAAACAGGGAGTAGCCTTAGAGGTCATGGAGTTCAGTTTTCTCGTTTTCTGGTTGAGGAAACATAAGAGCAGGAGAGTTGGGCGACTTGTTCAAGTTAGTGCATGTTGTGTACGCTTTATGTCCCATAGCTAAACCATACAGACCCTGGGGACATCGCCTGCCATTCTTTGGGGTCTCTCTCTGGGACTGCCTTACTCCTTAAACACACCAAGCATTAAGAAGGGAGCAGCCAGCAGAATTAGGAGAGGATGTGCTGGGTGGGGAGGGACGGAGGAACATGGCCTGGGAAAGAGCTCTCACATACAGCACTTTGGGTGCTCGGGCTGAAGGCCTCACGAACAAACAAGGGTGCCAGGGTGGGCTCGAAGAAGTCTCCAGTATCCTCCACGCACTTCATCCATCGAGGGCGGGCAGGCTACAGAGACAAAGTTGGAATAAGAGGTTCTCGTTTGTTTCCCCAAGCCAATCTTGTCCTGTCCTCCCCCCACAGAAGATGCCCTCTTTTCTGGACATTCTGGGTTTGTTTCTCTTTACTGGGTTATCCCTTTTGGTGGCACACATGGGTTCATTGCCGCTCAGCACAAAAAGGCATAGGTCTCCAGGATCAGTTTCATGAGCCTGGTTTGGGCAAATAANTTCTCTTTACTGGGTTATCCCTTTTGGTGGTACACATGGGTTCATTGCCACTCAGCAAAAAAAAGGCATAGGTCTCCAGGATCAGTTTCATGAGCCTGGTTTGGGCAAATAATCCTTGTTTATTGCCTACAGAAATTGAAAGCAAGGCCTCAGGATGCATCTGTCTTGAGAACGGAAAGGCTCCTGGGAAGGAGAGGGCTAGATGCCAAACCCCTCAGGTCCCTTGGCCGCCCCTTCCACACCCACCACAAGCACTGCTCTGGGAGCCCAGCAATGACTTCCCTTCCAATGCTTCTTTGCTTAAAATGCAACTTAGAGAAGGTTATTCCTCCCTCCCTTCCACCACCCTCCCCACTCTCCAAATGGTTGTCATGGGCCATATGGCAAGATCTTGTCTTATGAAGAAGAAAATTATCAGAGTGAAATTATTGGGGTTCAGATGCCATACTGTTGTCTGGTAGGAGAACAGACTAAAGAAAAGGCTAAAGACAAGAATTCAGAGAGCTAAGAAACTTGCAGCCAAAGCCAGATGAAATGAAGGGGAGACAAGGGACATCTTCAATCTCAAAGGCAGAGAGATAGACAAAAACATAATAGGGCCTTGGAAGCAGGACAAGATTTTTACAGCAGGGCAGAAAGCATAAGAAAAAAGGGTTGCTGGGGAGGTTTTGGTGGTGGGCTTGGATGGTTTGGAAGAGTTGCCCAAGGGGTAGGCCCAGAGATGACACAGGCCAGGCTGAAAAACAGGTTCAAGGGTCCCGGGTAGGCATAAGAGAGCTGGCCTAAGGGAAAGCTGAGCTGGGACTTGGGAAAATCAGCTACTATGCTAATTTGGGTTGAGTGGGATGAAGTCACAAGACTTCATTCCTGTAACTTATTTACTCCCTTTAGATCTCCTCTTAGGCTGCCACTAAGCTCTCTGGTCCCAAGGCTGGAGAGAGTGTTTATGGGACTCCCACGAAAAAAGAGACCAGAAAGAGAAGGCCAGTCTTGTCCTCAATGAAGAAGGAAGTCCCAGGCCTGCCTGTTAGGACATTTATCATCTTGGATGTGGCTGCAGACCTGGTTGCCCACATTGTGTGTTCTTGTCCCCTCACCATGAGACCTCTAGAGGACCTTGCAAGGAGAAGGGACTCGGACACTTTCTCTAGCATATTAGTTGGAGCTCTGAAACACACATTTGAAGAATTAACACAAGTGGAAAGGAAACCTCAGTCTAATAGCAAGGACTGGGTCAAGTGCAGGCTCTGCTGGCCACCTTCAGTGTCTGTCCCCCACAGGCCTCCCTTACAACAAGCTTGGCTTTGGGGCAACACCTGGAGCAGTAACAAACGGCGTCAGCCTTGCTCTTGGTGTCATCTGCCCTTTCCACACCTCCTTGCTCCGGAGCTGTTCTCTGATCCCCTTCACTGGGGCCTGCCCCTTTCCCCAAAAGCCTTTGCCTGCTCCATGCCTGTCCCCATAGCCCGGGCCCAGCAGGCCTGACCTGGTTACTAGAGAGTATAGATGCCACCTCAGACTACCCGTTGCTCACCCCTGTGCAACTCTAGGAATCATTAAACTGACTATATTTTACCACTTGGAAAATAATGTGTAATGACTAAGGGCCAATGGAGGAACACCGAGCACAAACAAGGTCAACATAATAGCAATTTCTCTGGCTAACAGGTTCACCACACTAGGACATACCGCAAACCAGGAGTCACAAACTCAAGTAGGGACCATGAGGTGACATAACTGAGAGATGCCTGTCATCAGAACCACAGGACATGGAGGGGTGATGACAAATGGTAGAGAATACGTCCAGTCTGAATGAGCTGCCAGCAGCTATTGCCCCTGGACAAGGTACTTCACGCTTACCACAACAAAGGGCTGGAAATTGGATTACTGGTGCGCCATCTCCTAATTTTTGAACGTTGGCAATNTAGCCCAGTGATGCCCAGACTTCACGCTTACCACAACAAAGGGCTGGAAATTGGATTACTGGTGCGCCATCTCCTAATTTTTGAATGTTGGCGATCAATTAAAAGTTTATAAAAAGCTTTAGGAGCCAGCANCATCTCCTAATTTTTGAACGTTGGCAATCAATTAAAAGTTTATAAAAAGCTTTAGGAGCCAGCAAAACACATCGATATGTCAGATGCACACTCCCGCCACCCCAGGACCACCTCAATACCACCTCTGCACAGAGAATTCAACATTCACTAAATATTGACATTTAACTTAAACCTCAGGACTTCAGATACACCAGCTATGAAAGTGAGATAACTGTTCTGATTCTTTACAGAGTTGCTTAAAAGAGGAGGTAAAAGAATCCATTGAAAATACTCTGTAAATTCTACACTATTACCCCACTGGCATTATTTTGATTTTCAGAAGGGACTTGACAAAGCCACAAATGAAATCTTCGTGAATTAGATTGGAGAAATCTGTGTTGGATGATAGTGTAATTTGAGTGGATTCTCAGCTGGCTGAACCGTAACAAAGCATCAAAAATTAATGACTCTGCCCTGGCTGGTATTGCCAAGTGGTTAGAGCATTAGCTCGCTGACCGAAGAGTTGAGGGTTTGATTTCTGGTCAAGAGCACGTACCTAGGTCGCAGGTTTGAGCCCCAGGCCCGGTGAGGGCGAGTGCCGGAGGCAACCAATTGGTGTGTCTCTCTCACATTGATGTTTCTCCCTCTCTGTCTCTCTCTCTCTCTCCCCCCCCCCCCC